AATAGGTCATGCTGAACAAAAGTGGTTCAGCAAAGGAGTTGTAAAAGTTTTACCCTGTTCCAAGATACCATGGTGTTGATGTATCAGATAACTTTCTTATCACTGACAGTACACAATATTAAGAAGTTGATGAATAAGACAACACGGGCAACACTTTATTGCCTAAATGTTTCACCCACACAACAGACTTCTTCAATCAAGTACAGAAAGCAGCAGACTTCTGGAAGAAGTAGGTGTTGTTTGGACCTAATCAGCATGTCACCCTCAGAAGGTGGTGGTCAGTCCCTCAAGTGTTGTCCACCGAGGGGTTAAAACAGCTTCTATCGAACACAGAATTCTACTGCTTCCTGTAGTCAATTGAGGCAGCCTGTTGTGTAGGCAAAATATTTTGGCAATAAAGATACCTAAGTGTAGCACGTGTGTTTTATTTGTATACAGTGCTGCACCAAAGAAGAAGGAATCTAGTTTATGATTGGCTGTCAGTATGTCAGAATTTCAATATTTCAAAAGAAGTATCCATGAATGGGTAGACCCCCAACCTTCATCTTAAAAATTTGGTCTTAAAATCTCAACCTATACATGGGAATATACAGAAAGTAAAATCAATTAAAATAAGAAGGAAATATAGAAGGGGGAAGATCATAAAAAGCTATTTCTTCAGTTTTTTAGTGTTATTAACACATCGGCCATTTCCCACCAAAGCAGGGTGGCCCGCAAGAGAAAAACTTTCAGCATCATTCACTCCATCACTGACTTGCCAGAGGCATGCTTACACTACAGTATAAAACTGCAACATTAACACCCCTCCTTTAGAGTGCTGGCACTGTACTTCCCATCTCCAGGAATCAAGTCTGGCCTGCCAGTCTCCCTGAATCCCCTCATAAATGTTATCTTGCTTACACTCCAACAGCATGTCAAGTCCTAAAAAACCATTTGACTCCATTTGCTCCTATTTAACATGCTCATGTACACTTGCTGGAAGTCCAAGCCCCTCACACACATAACCTTCTTTACCCCCCTCTCTCCAACCTTTCCTAGGCCGGCCCCTACCTTCCCTTCCCTCCACTACAGATTTATACACTCTCGAAGACATTGTATTTCGTTCCAGCGTCTTTACATGTCCAAACTATCTAAATAACCCCTCCTCAGCCCTCTGGATAATAGTTTTGGTAACCCCACACCTCTTAATCTCCAAACTACGGATTCTCTGCACTATATTCACACCACACATGGCCCTCAGACATGATATCTCCACTGCCTCCAGCCTCCTCCTTGTTGCAAAACACACAACCCATGCCTCACACCCATACAAGAGTGTTGGTATAACTATACTCTCATACATTCCTCTCTTTGCTTTTATAGATCAAGTTCTTTGTCTCCATAGACTCCTCAGTGTACCACTCACCTTTTTCCCCTCGTCAATTCTATGATTCACCTCATCCTTCATAGACCCATCTGTTGACACGTCCACTCCCAAATATCTGAACACATTCACCTCCATACTCTCTCCCTCCAATCTGACATCCAATGTTCCGTTACCTAAGTTTTTTGTTATCCTCATCACCTTACTCTTTCCCATATTCACTTTTAATTTCCTTCTTTTACGTACCCTACCAAACTCATCAACCAACCTCTGCAACTTCTTTACAGAATCTCCCAAAAGCACAGTGTCATCTGCAAAGAGCAATTGTGACAACTCCCACTTTGTGTTAGATTCTTTATCTTTTAACCCCACACCTCTTGCCAACACCTGAGCATTTACTGCTCTTACAACTCCACCTATAAACATATTGAACAACAATGATGACATCACACATCCCTGTCTAAGGCCTACTTTTACTGGGAAATAATCTCCCTCTCACCTACATACTCTAACCTGAGCCTCACTATCCTCATAAATACTTTTCACCACTTTCAATAACCTACCTCCTATGCCATACATTTACATCTGCTATATTGCCCCCCTATCATACACCTTTTCCAAATCCATAAATGCCACAAAAACCTTTTCACCCTTATCTATATACAGTTCACCTATACGTTTCACTGCCTCCTTGCTTATCTGATATCCCGCTCTCTGTCCTATTCTTAATTCTTTCAATAATAACTAACATACACTTTACCAGGTATACTCAACAGACTTATTCCCATATAATTTTTACACTCTCTTTTCTCCCCTTTGCCTTTATACAAAGGAACTATGCATGCTCTCTGCCAATCCTTTAAAACTATATCCCCACCTGCTTTTAACATTTCTATCTTTATCCCATCAATACCAGCTGCTTTATCCACTTTCATTCTACTCACTGCCCCATGCACTTCCCCCACACTCACAACTGGTTCTTCCTCACTTCTATAAGATGTTATTCCTCCTTGACCTATACATGAAATCACAGCTTCCCTATCTTCAACATTTAACAACCCCTCAAAATATTCCCTCCATCTTCCTGATACCTCTAACTCTCCATTTAATAATTCTCCTTTCCTATTTTTAACTAACAAATCCATTCTTTCCCTAGGCTTTCTCAACTTATTAATCTCACTCCAAAACTTATTATTTTCAACAAAATTTGTTGATAACATCTCACTCACTCTCACATTTGCTATCTTTTTACATTGCTTCACCACTTTCTTAACCTCTCTTTTTCTTTCTATATACTCCTCCCTCCTTCTATATACTCCTCCCTCCTTGCATCACCTCTACTTTGTAAAAACCTCTCATATGCAATTTTTTTCTCTCTTGCTACTCTCTTTACATCATCATTCCACCAATCACTCTTCTTCCCTCCTGCACCCACTTTCCTGTAACCATAAACTTCTGCTGAACACTCTAACACTATATTCTTAAACTTACCCCATACATCTTCTACCCCATTGCCTATACTCTCATTAGCCCATCTGTCCTCCAACAGTTGTTTATATCTTGCCCTAACTGCCTCCCCCTTTAGCTTGTAAGCCTTCACTTCCCTCTTACTTGCTGCTTCCATTTTCCTTGTATCCCATCTAGCTTTTACTCTCACTGTAGCTATGACTAGAAAGTGATCTGATATATCTATGGCCCCTCTATAAACATGTACATCTTGAAGTCTACCCAACAGTCATTTGTCTACCAATACGTAGTCCAATAAACTGCTGTCATTTTGCCCTACATCATATCTTGAATGCTTATTTATCTTCTTTTTCTTAAAATATGTTACCTATAACCAAACCTCTTTCAATACAAAGTTCAATCAAATGATCCCCATTATCATTTACACCTGGCACCCCAAACCTACCTACCACACCCTCTCTAACTGCTTCTCCTACTTTCGCATTTAGGTCCCCTACCACGATTACTCTCTCACTTGGCTCAAAAGTTGCAACACACTCACTTAACATCTCCCAAAATCTCTCTCTCTCTCCTCTACACTCCTCTCTTTTCTAGGTGCATACACACTTTTTATGACCCACTTTTCACATCCGACTTTTATTTTAATTCACATAATCCTTGAATTTATGCATTTATATTCCTCCTTCTCTCTCCATAACTGATCCTTCAACATTATTGCTACCTCTTTCTTAGGCCTAACTCTCTCAGATACTCCTGACTTAATCCCATTTATTTCTCCCCACTGAAACTCCCCTACCCCCTTCAGCTTTGTTTCACTTAGAGCCAGGACAGAATAAGACACCAACAATCTTACCAGCATGCAAAACAATTACAGGCTTGTGTTTGACACTCATTTGGCCACCATAAAAGTTATGCAACTGCCACTTGTCAGAATCAGAAAGCATGGATAATGAATAATAACAGAAAGCACATGCCTATGGGATACAAGGGAAAAATTATATGAAAAGACAGTGCAATCCAAAAAAGTGCAAAAGGAAAACAATAAATACTAACTGGAAAATATGAGGGTACATTTGTCATTTGTCATTCAGGTAAACTAGTATTTAAAATATCTGGATGGAGATGCATGGCAACCACATTAGAAATAGGAAGTTCTCTTTTTTTTTTTTTTTTTTTTTTAACAAGTCGGCCGTCTCCCACCGAGGCAGGGTGACCCAAAAAGAAAAAACCATCACATATACAGACAAATAGATCAATATACTTTATTTTTTCTTGTCTGTTGTCAACAATTTATTCATAAACTTGTTAAAACTACATGTGAAGTGATAAGATCTTATGAATCATAAATATTAATTATTATGATAGAGAGTATCTACAAAATAAACAATTAGCACCCACCCAATAATGGACTTTTCTTACAAGAACACAAAAAGATTAATTACAAGTAACATCTAAATATTTACTAAAAATATCAATTCTTATAGTAATAACTTTCCTCTGAAGCCACAAGAAGGTATAAAGAAAGTCATGTAGCTACATCATAAATTTCCACGAGAGTAAAATCTTATGCAGAAAGATGGGATTGTTATATCAAAGCCTATTACCAAATTTTGTAACACTTACCATACTTAACATAAAACTATTAGTAAAATAAAGTGTACTGTAAGTTTTCTTTGAAATGGACAAAACAATAAAAATTGATAGTTAGAGAGTACAGTGGACCCCCGGATAACGATCAGCTCCCAACTCGACCAATTATGTAAGTGTATTTTTGTAAGTGCTTTTGTAGGTGTATTTTTAGGGGTCTGAAATGGACTAATCTAATTCACAATATTTCTTATGGGAACAAATTCGGTCTATAACGGCACCCAAACAGACTTCTGGATTGAAATAATATTGTTATGCGGGGGTCCACTGTATTATTAGATAGCAACATGATGGTAAAGACAAATGAAATTATTTAACTTGCCTTTCTCTCTACTAGAAAACCCCCTTAACTACTAACAGTTATTTACATACTGAAATAATTATATCAACTACCAAGGTATAAGACTCCAAATTACAAAAATTAGGATAGCTTTCTAGCTCTTTATCATCATTCAATAATAGCATTAACTGTAAAATTTCATGGCACAATATAAATGGTCATAATTATACAATGCAATCTTACCTCACAACATCAGTTCTATCCTCTTGGATTGCAACAGTGGTGACATGTGTCTGTGACGATCTCACTTGGACCCGTGGAGATGAAGTGCTGACCACTGTGCTACCAGATGCCCCAGATGCAGCATCCCATGGAGGTGGAGGAGTAGAGCTTAAAGGTGGATGACTTGAACTCCCTCCTCCACTCACAGTAACTACACCTCGGCCACTACCTACATATCCCAGAAACAGCCACATATTAGGGAACTCAACACTACAGGCTGCTATCAAATGTAGGCAAGCCAAACAAATGTAAATATCAAATTGGAAAATGGATTTACACTGCTACAAACTGCTTTAGCCAATTTTTACCTCCCTTTACATATTTGATATAACAGTGCACTATACTCAGCCAAACTGTGCCATTACAATTAATCTCAATTATTGTAAAGCATCTTTTACTGTACTTTATGTTGTGTACCATTACCTTTCCTATCACATCCTACACAAATATTGCTACTGAACATGCTTCACACTAGTTACAAAAAAAATTAAATGCCTAAAAGAATACAACTCAAAATCATAATATATCATTCACAATAAATACTATATACATGTACGTAACTTCCAAAACAATATAAGCAAAATAAAAAGTGATGCATTAGAAAAAAAAGCCACAACACTGTTAAAGGTGCACAATACACAATAATGGAAATTGGCAGGCAAAATACAAAAATAAATACAAGCTATATTTCAGTAAAAAATGTTCTTTGCAAGACTGAGCTTGACTGATGCCGATCATCTTGTTGGTTAATTAGACATCTATGTGAATCATCCAATAAACTTGAATATAGGTACTGTATATCAGGGTCCAAGGAAGAATTATGACTCAAATCTGTATTGGAAGCTATGCCAATCTTAGTGGGTAACAAGAATCCTGATGGAGGAGTATCAGAACATGAAAATGGTGCTGGAGGTAATGATCCTTCAGAATTAGATAAGGAATTTGAGTTTTCAAATGATGATAAAGACTGATCTTTAAGAGGAGAGGGAGACCTTGATTTTGCAAAATACATGGCAAGTGCCCACTCAATATATGCTTCCTCACCAGGTGATGGTCTATCTACCATAGAATTTATTTTATGGTAGTCCCCTTGTATTTGATGAGTGTTTCTGCCAGAGAAAGTCTCTCTTGAGTGAGGCTTTGTATTTTCATCATATAGCTTGGTCACACTGAAGTCCTCATACGGTGAGAATTCTTGAACTTCACCCCAACATTTCCGTACTACATGCTCTTGTGGCAATTCCTTGGATGCAACATGATTTACTTGAGATAAAGGCAGCATGAAACTAGTGCTTTTAACACCTGAAGATGACTTGGCCAATGAATTATCATATGGTGGAGATGTGTGTGCTAAATTCTTTTTTGTGGCAGGTGAAGAACAATGAGATGACTTTTGTTCAGAATTTGGAGAACACTCCACACAGCTGTTTTTAGGGCCTGACCTTGCCAAACTTGGTGAGGATTGTTGCACAACAGAACGAGATGATGGAGAATTACCAGTGGATGTAATATGGGTATCTGGCAAGACAAATTCACATTTGTTTTGATTAGCAGAATGTTGACTGGCTAGACAGTAGGGTCTGCAAGACTGGAAATGGTAATGCTGGGATGGAGGGTTAGAGACCTCATCATCAGAAGGATGATAGGAAGAGATACTAGTGGGAGTGCCTGGTCGGGATGCTGTCTTAATTACATCCCACATTCCACGCACCACCTGATAGGCGGCTTCAGCACTGGCACGACGAAAAGCTCTTTTCTGTAGCGTTTCATCATGTGTGGTACCACTTGAGTGCAAGGGGGATAGAGCCAAGACATCTTTAGTAGGAAGTTGCCATACATAATGTTGTCTTTCACATGGCAGAGCATGCAGCATTGGCATCATGCAATCTTTATCTAAATTACACATACTGTCTGCATGCCAGATGTTATATCCAGTCATGCCAATACTAGGACTACACAGATGCGAAAAACGGGGGCTGCCTTCAGAAAAACGAGGACTTGGGGGCAATGTGAGGCAAGCAACTCCACCTCTAGCAGTTGAGAATGAAGATGACGCAGAGGTGGTCTGAGTTGCTCCACCTCGAGGCGAGCGCGGAGGAACTGGAGGCGGCACACGACCACGACCAGAGTGAGGTCGGTCTTGAAGTACAGCTGGAAGATTGACTGGTGTGGAAGGTGCTCCTGATCCTATACCAGAGGCAGCAGTGGAGGCTCCCCCTAGTGCTGTTCCTGATACACCACCAGTTGCGATTGCTCCAGCCACTGCTGATGAGAGGGTGGTGGTGGTAGTGGTGGTGGCCCCCGAACCTCCTGTAGCCATGGATAAGGAGATAGCGACCTCACCACTCTCACCCGGCCGGTCCTCAGCACTAACATTGCCACCTGCAAGCACCACGCACCACACCTATCACACACCCACCTGCTCATACCTACTAGACATTACACACCCAAATAGGTTTCTTACACTATTAATATAATCTATGGAGATAGATAAAGCACATTTTAGAAAGATTCCCAGCAAAATATTGAAGATGATAGGGTTAGTTGTACAGTACATAAGTATTATTTCCCAGGCTACTGTCAAATATTGGAGCAAGTTTTTGTTACAGAGCATTCATATAAGGACATGAAGTTTCGAGTAAATTATGTTTCTGAGCTATCATGACATGCATGTGCTCAATATCTTCTTAAAGGAATCAGTCAAATTACAATAAAATGCCTAGCTTTTAAAACACGATTATATACATAATTCTACCTCTTTAGTCCAGCTAATTACTGCATTGTATTTTCTGTGCCAACTTTACTTTTTGCTTTCAGGTGCCTCTCCATTACTACACTAGTATAAATATTGCTTAATTTTATATCTGATTAATACACATCACTATAAATGTTTCAATAAATTGATTAAAAAAAAACATAAACTGTTAACCCTTTGACTGTCGCAAGCCCCTTTCTGAAACTGTCATTCTATGTCGCAAAATTTTTGGAAAAAAAAAAAAAAAAAAAATTCTTATGAAATGATAGAGAATCTTTTCCTGATGGTAATGACACCAAAAGTACGAAATTTGGTCGAAAACTCCCAGAATTACGCTCCAACGAAGTTAGTGGTCTCAGGAACATACTCATCGGTGATTTTGCCGACTTTGAGCCCTGCTTTTGGCCAATTCCATTGTTCTAGTTGACCAAACTCATAGCTATTTCTTTAGAACCCCATTTTTCCTATGAGTTGAGTACAAGAAACTGCCCATTTACTGATTTGAACTACCCAATAAAGTGGTCAGAAATTGGCAATTTGGCCAATTTCACAAAAATTAAAAAAGATGCCATTTCAAAATAGGGTCCAGAATAAACAATGTAGACATTCTTGGCACTAAAATAACATATCCTCTGTTCATTAGTCACATCTCTAGGCCCCTCTTATATTACTATTGCTTTCTATTTTGATTTTTTATTCATACAAATAAATACAAAATTTACTGTAATGCAGACTACTGCATTATTGAAAAAATGGTATAAATAATATCAGTGCACTAGTGAAAGAATATTAGACTCCCCAGTTGACGTGTATTGGACATGTGGTGTGATTTGCTTACTCCTGAACATTGGTAAAAATTTAACATTTCCGCTACTTTGAGCTCAATTTCAGGGTCGTTTTCATCGTGAAACTTATCAAAATCATCTCTATTTCTGTAACATGTTTTCCATTTTATCACATGAGACCATGAAAACGAGAATACAACAATAAATACTATACGAAAATACACCTCAAAGTCGGCGTCTTAAACCAAAAAACAGTCAGTTTTTTTTTTCTCAATATGCACTGTGTGCTGCAGGATTTATTTTATGTGGTGCACACTGACCACACAGACGCATTCTCTCACATGTGGGCCTACCAGCTTTCTCCTGCTTGATTTGAAGCCGCTAGAATTATTGAGTATGTATACGTCCGAAACACTGGCTCGTAAGACGTATATATATATATATGACCAAAACAGTCGAAGGGTTAATTAACCCTTTCACTATCTCACAGATCTACGTTACTGGTGCCAGTGTCACTCACCTAGATGTTTTAAGTACAGAAACCTCAAATATGCTTTAAGAGGTCAATTTTGGCCTACACATGAGACAATGGGTCTGTGCTATGGGTGTGTAAAGTGTATAAAAAAAAAAAAAAAGGATCCTGCCCCCACACAATGCATGATGAGGAAAGTAAACCTCTGATCCTGTGCTAGATTTATAAAAGTGACTTTGAAGTTTTTTCTAGGATGATTTTAATGGTTTTGCAAACTATTTCAAGGTATCAATTCACAGAATGGAAGACACTATTGAGATAAGAGACAAGTTCAATTTCAGTAATGGAAGAACTGAAGTTTCAAATAGGGCTCAAAGTAGCAGAAATATTCTATTTTTGACTATTTTCTTGAGGAAGGGTAAGACCCAACCCTCACCCTCCATGGTCTGTATTATACACAAATAACCCGCACATAAAAGAGAGAAGCTTACGACGACGTTTCAGTCCGACTTGGACCATTTACAAAGTCACACTTTGTAAATGGTCCAAGTCGGACCGAAACGTCGTTATAAGCTTCTCTCTTTTATGTGCGGGTTATTTGTGCATCGTTCCAGTCACAGTATTGTGCCTTTTTTTGTTATTTATGGTCTGTATTATGGGTTTTCTCCTTTTTTACTAAGTCTGCTTCATTTATTGAGTTTCCCTAAACCATGACAAATCCTTCCTGGTTATATTTTAATTCCCGAGAAATAAGGCAAAACTTCAGTTTTTTTGTGCGTGGTGATGGATTCAAAATGGAGAGCAAGTGTAATAAAGAAGTTGTCCGAGTGTGATTAATGAACAAACGATAGATTTATTTATTTGCTGGAATGCATACAATGTTCATTGTTTGACTATTTTTAAACTAGAATTGCCAAATTTTGTATAAAAATTTGACAAATTACTAGTTACTGCATGCTTTATAGGGTAGTTCTGATAGTTGAATGAGTGGTTTCCCATTCATTCAAAAGAATGAAAAGCATACTAGCAAAATAGGTAAGAATTCTGTCAAACTGAGTAATGGAATTGGCTTAAATTAGGACTCAACATTGGTGAAATCACCAATGCACAAATTATACTTAAGACAGCCAAATTTGCACCTGCATAATTCCGTAAATTTTCCATCAAATTTTGCATTTTTGGTGTCATTACTTTCAGAAAAAGATTACAATTTCAGAAGAATTTTCTTTTTGAAAAATCCTAACACTGTCAGCAGTTTTAATTTTGGGGTTAAAAATGAACAGGTAACGAAAAATAGAGTTTAAAACATTGAAGATATTTAGAACTAAAACACTGAAGATAGTAGTAGCAAGGTGAAATGAACATTAAGAGAATGAATTAAAATAAGATAAAAGAGAACACAAGTGTCAGTGAAATTGATGGAAGGATCTGGCTAAATAAAACATGGATGAATGGGTTAACCCTTCGAGGGTCCGTCCCACTGTTCTACAGCTTTGAAGCCTGGGTCCAAGCCATAGAACTACAGCTTGAGCTCAGCTCACTCAGATAAGCTGTAAGCAGTAATTTTGGGCCTAGATATGAGAGAATACATCTATGTGGTAAGTGTGCACAATATAAAACAAATACTGCAGCACACAGTGAATAATGAGAAAAAAAAAACTATGATCGTATTTTTGGAATAAAACAGCGACTTTGCGGTGTTGTTCTGTATGTTTTTTTACAGTTGTACAATTGTATTTCTTGGTCTCATTTGATAGAATGGAAGATATATTATAGAAACAGATGATTTTGATTAGTTTTAGTACTGAAAATTGCTTGAAACTGAGCTCAAAATAGCAGAAATGTTCAATTTTTGCCAATGCTCAAGAGTAAACAAATGACATCACATGTCTAATACACGTCAGCTGGTGGGCCTAATATACATTCACAAATGTGCTGATATTATTTATACAATTATTACAATACTGAATAAAAATAACTTCTATTTTTTGGTGTGAATAAAAATTCATTATGTGAATAAGAAATCAAAATGGAATTAATTTGCAAAGCCTAAAAATGAAACTAATAAACAGAGGAAATGTTGGTTTAGTGCCAGGAATGCCTGCACTGTTTATTCTGGACCCTACTTTGAAATTGGAATATTTTGAACTTTGTGTTAAATTGGCCAAATTACCTAATTCCGATCACTTTATTGGTTAGCTGAAACAGTTGACTGGGCAATTTCTTGTGCTCAATCGATAAAATAGAAGGAATACTAGCGAAATAGCTAAAAAGTTGGTCGACTGGAATGATGTAAATGATCTAAAATGGGAGTCAAAGTCGGCAAAATCGCTGATGCATAAATATCGCTGACGCAGCAAAATTCGCAAGAGCGTAATTTCGTCAATTTTCCATCAAATTGGCAGGGTGACCCAAAACGAAAATCCCCAAAAAGAAAATATTTTCACCATTCAACACTTTCACCTCACTCACACATAATCACTATTTTGGCAGAGGCACCCAGATACAACAGTTTAGAAGCATATACAAAACATATACAGTGGACCCCCGGTTAACGATATTTTTTCATTCCAGAAGTATGTTCAGGTGCCAGTACTGACCGAATTTGTTCCCATAAGGAATATTGTGAAGTAGATTAGTCCATTTCAGACCCCCAAACATACGTGTACAAACGCACTTACATAAATACACTTACATAATTGGTCGCATTGGGAGGCGATCGTTAAGCGGGGGTCCACTATATATCATATCAATCCAAACTGCCAATATCCCAAACCCCTCCTTTAAAGTGCAAGCACTGTACTTCCTATTTCCGGTACTCAAGTCCAGCTATATAAAAATAACCTGTTTCCCTGAATCCCTTCACTAAATATTACCCTGCTCACACTCCAACAGCTCGTCAGGTCCCAAAAACCATTCGTCTCCATTCATTCCTAACACACTCATGCACGCTTGCTGGAAGTTCAATCCTCTCGTCCACAAAACCTCCTTTACCCCCTCCCTACAACCTTTTTGAGGATGACCCCTACCCTGCCTTCCTTCCCCTACAGATTTATATGCAATCCATGTCATTCTACTTTGATCCAGTCTCTCTAAATGACCAAACCACCTCAACAACCCCTCTTCAGCCCTCTGACTAATACTTTTATCAACTCCATGCCTTTTCCTAATTTTCACACTCCAAATTCTCTGCATAATATTTACACCACACATTGCCCTTAGACAGGACATCTCCACTGCCACCAACCACCTCACTGCAGAATTTACTACCGAAGCATCACACCCATATAAGAGTGTTGGTACCACTATACTTTCATACATTCCCCTCTTTGCCTATATTGAAACGTTTTTTTTGTCTCCACATATACCT